TTTCGTGAAGGATTCTTTCTGTAACTATATTATTTTTGTATTAACTATTTGTTTACTAGTACTACTCATGAATTTTTTAGCTACTTTTATATAACACTAGGTAATTGCCGCCATGCGTTGCAGTGGTGACATAAATATTGTAGTAATTCAACATCAATCAAGCAACATCGCCTCCATAGATGCATCACTCCACTGAACCATTGAATACCAGTATACCACTGCTCTACTCCCTCCGTCTCATAAGACGGAGGGAGTAGTAAAGAAATGAGAAAATAGTATACAAATTTCTAAACTGAATGAAGTAAGCATCAGTTTCACAAAGACACACCCAACCTTGAGCATTGTACTCAAGAACTAATTCATGTAGACGGTAGCAAGGATTGGCACTTTAAGAGGCCCATCTTAAGATTAATAAGACATGGTACAATAGAAAATGGTATACTATTGGTCATAGATCTTTCTCCATCCATTGGAAGTTTTCTTCTTCTTCCTTCTCCTTCCATTTGTTCCCCCTGTTCTTCCTTTATCCATGCACACACCGGAAGCTATTCCTTGTTAAGGCAATGGAGAGGATGTCCTTCAGCTACTAAAACCAAAAGAAGCTTGTATACCGTTATTTACAGGATCGAAAAGATAGAACAGAACCTCGACGGAATAAAAAGTCTTTGTAGTATTAAGCAAGATAAATCAGTAGTGGAATAGTGTATACCAACTCCACCTATGGATGTAGAGATTACTTATCGTATTGTTGAATTCAATTTGGACTCATCAGAATACATCATCCACATTGGCATGCTTGTTCTTAAACACACTATCACTGCGCTTCAACAGAACATGCATTCTGTGTCATTTAGATGAACATACATGGTCAGCCTAACACCATAGCATCCACACAAAATGCTGGAAGCATGCCCTTGCATATCTCAACAAATACATAAGCAACTTCCAGTCTTCCACCACAGAAGTATTTTCTTTCCTGTAAGTACACAAGAACTAAAGAGAATACTAAAATACTATATCTTACTACTCGGTTTAAATTACTTTGTTCCTCTGCTACAAAATAAACTATGTACACCTTAATTTATGTATCTATAAGGATGGCAGGATGAACCATCAGTAAAACTCTAACCTGGCTGTAGTTAAGTTCAGCTTACAACATTCAGTTGTTGGCGCCGCCTCTCCTCGCAGCGCCGCTTCTTCTTCTTCCGCACTGAACTCTCTCCTTTCTTTGTCTTCTCTCAAGAACACACACACACGCACACGCACACGCACGCGCACGCGCACGTGCACGCACGCACGCACGCACGCGCGCGCGCGCACACACACACACACACACAACACATGATGAAAGCCAGGTGTCATGTTCTCCAAGCAATCCTCTTAATTGAGTGACTTCACATATACACAGGGTGTCATGTTCTTCTTCAGGTCAGAGGACGGCAAAATAAAATACTGCAGCGATGTAGATCAACCCACGTTCAATCTGTACGACTGACTTTGACAAGATCCTAGTGTGGCAGAGACCGTCGGTGAGGAAGAGAGTGTGGTGGGTGTGTATACGAGGTTCACAGATAGTTTGGGGACGAGGGCTGAATTATACACCTTGCGTTCTGTAGATGTTGCCTTACAGTTGTGTGCTTGTTAAGAATGGGTTTAGACATCCAGAACAAGAATTTCTCTACTTACAAATGCCATTAGGCTTAGGCTACATGTTCCGGCGACTTACAGACTTGCTGCAAAGACAATACATGTATGCATAGAGCGCCTAAAAATCTGATTTGACACAATTAAGGTTGTGAATCGTTAATGCTAATCAACTGACCCAATCACTTCATACCAAGTGCATGCTCACAGAACTTCATACAAATGCCCACAGAACCTACATACCCTGTAGCAAAATCTTTGCCACGCCTAAATAAACATTAATACATGGACAGAACAGAGGTGTAAGACAGAGCAGAAATCGTACGCCTCAGGTGAGACGGTGACGGACGCTTGAGCTCGCGTTAAGAGAGGCTCGGCATGGACAGGACCTGGATTTGTCACCTCGCTGTCCTTCAGGAGCTCTGCGTCGTCCGTGTTGGCAGGGACTCCGACTTGTCGGTGGCTGGAGGATCTCCGCCGCATCGGTGCGGGAGGATGCCTGGGGCACCGATGCGGGTGGTGCAGGTGGGTTGGACGGCGGGAGCTGATGGCGGGCTCGCAGCGAGAGCTGGTGCTCAGCTCAGCTGGATCGCTTGAAGGTTGTGGTCGTGGAAGGGAAGAGGTTCGGCAGCGGGGATTTCTGGGGCGAGGGGATTCCAATCCATGCGCCGGAGGAGGCGGCGACCGGAGATTGGGCCGGTGGCGGCGGGCAGAGAAGGGCGCAGTATTTGTGTGTGTGTGTGTGTAGAACACTATTTTTCTTGTTAGACACCGGAGAGATTATAATATTGACTCGTATCTCTCAATCCGGTATCACACTCAGGTTATATTATTATTATTGACTCGTATCCTAGATCATGCTCATGAATTGGCTTTGCAGTGGCCTGGAGCATACTGTGTGGACAGCGAGTACGGATGTTGCGTGCCCAAGTACGGATACCCAGCGGAGGATTTCTTCATCCAGAGCTTCACGACCTTCGACTTGTCGCTGAACAAAGCCGTCGTGAGATGCAATGGCGACAAACCATTCGACATTAACAAGGTCAACTAACATGAACACATTTATTCAACATCTTCTTGTTTATGCATATGCATGCAGTAGCGCAGTAATTTTATAACCATGCATGAGCAGCTGGAGCCAATTGAAAACAACTTAAACCACTACTGGAGCAACATTCATTGCCCGCGCACCGACGGGACGAGCACCTGGAAGAGCGAGTGGCGCAGCTACGGCGTCTGCTCGGGCCTCAAGGAGGTGGACTACTTCAGGGCCGCACTCAACCTCCGCAAGAACGCCGACGTCCTCGGCGCTCTCGCCGAGCAGGGCATCAACCCGGACTACAGGCTGTACAGCACGGAGCACATCAAGTGGGCGGTGAACCAGAAGCTTGGAGTGATGCCTGGGGTGCAGTGCAGGGACGGGCCGTTCGGCAAGAAGCAGCTCTACCAGATCTACCTTTGCGTCGACAAGAACGGGGAGGCCTTCATCGACTGTCCCAAGCTGCCCAAACTGCAGTGCCCTGAGGAGGTCCTCTTCCACCCCTTCCACACGTGGATGCTCAACGCCACATCGCCTGCCAAGATCATGTTGCCCACCAAGGCCTGAGAGCCACCCACCCAGCCGGCGCTTCACCTGAGAGTACGTACTACTGTGGCCTGGAGCATTATATCGTGCTTGTTGCTCCGGTGAATAAATAAATGGATGGTTGAATAAATAAAAAGTATATACATAGTTGGGAGTTGCGACTTGTCATAACAACATGACCGTCAAATCGCTTCTCTACTAGCTACTATGTATATGCGTATCCATAATATTTGTAATACGTGGTATATGAATGAACAGTTTTATTATGTCGGGTGTTTAAGAAATTCTTTTATCTTGGTTCGTTCTAAATTTTTGTTCATGGCTGCTTCTGTTGTTGATATTAATTGGTTTCAAATTTAGTTTCCCGTAAGTTTGACTACATACAGTCTATGAGTTATCCATTTGTTTGTGCTTCAGTGCATGGTTTTTTCACTCTATATTTTCTTTTTTGTTTACTAGCAAAAGAGCCCGTGCATTGCAACGGGAGAGAAAACGTAACACACACTCTTAACTCAACAACCATCACTCAAGACCACAATAGGTCCATCTCTTTTATTTTTGCGAGCCATCATATTTGTGTTGCCGCTTATCCTCCTTCTCACCCTCGCCGGCGATGGCCTCGGTGTTCACACAAAACAACAAAAAACGTGTGTTGAATATGGTTAATCCTAAGGCGTCTCTCTCTCCCTCTCTCCTCCCTCTCCCTCTCTCTCTCTCCCCTCTCTCTCTCTCGCTCGCTTTCTCTCACTCTCGCGATGAGAAATCTGTTGTTTTTCCTTCCGACATTTTTCAGAGCTATGCACGTGTAGTTATTGATGTTTTCTTTTCCGTATATGGTTATAGTGGGGTATTTATTTGCAATCAGGATCGCCGCCGGTATGAAAAAATGGATCTTGCGCTATAAATTATAAGTTTGCTACCATAACAATATTTTAAAAATATTTAACAGGTAAAATTAACATCATATTTAGATTCCACACATTTTTTTTAATAAAATTTCATATATAATATGTTAAAATCAAAGTTACGGTTTAAAAGATACAGATAATTTAGAAAATCATTTGGTTTGACTCAAATATATTCCAAAATAATATTTAAAAGTACTTAACAGGTAAAAATAATCTCATATTCATATTCTACATATTTTTCTAATCAAATTTCATATATAACATGTTCAAATCGGAGTTACGGTTTAAAAGATATGGATGATTTTAAAAAGCATTTGTTTGACTTAAATATGATCCGCGGATGAATTACCTAAAACATCAGGGTTTTTGTCGAAAAATGTAAAATAACGGTTCGTGTGTGACTTAAATTCGGATGGCGGGTTGATTTCAAGAAAAGACAGGGACTTTTGTGTAAAATATGAAAATAACGCTTCGTTTTAACTTAAAACGGGACTGCGGGTTGAATTCTCTGAAATAGAGGGACTTTTCTGACAAAATGCTATGACGGACGAAAGAAACTCAATTTGCTTTATTATTAGGTAAAGATTGTGGGTTCAGCATTTGTTCACCCTGAGTAGCTCAAATCATTTGCATGCCACCGCCCATCAACTCCTATAAGAGTTGAAAGTTGTAGTGTCGTGGCTGGTGATGTCACATACAACAACAACTTCTAAATAAATAAAAACCCACAACTCATCAAAAACAAAACAAAAATTAGCCGCACATTTTGCATGCCACCGCCCATCTAGCCACGCTCATGCTAGATCCGCGGCCGCCGTCCCTTTTGCCGGCTTCGGCCACAACTGTGCTGCCCGCTACCTCCCGAGACGCTGCCTACGACCTGACCTGGGTGAAAGGACCAATGTCAAAACAAAGGTGGGTGAATGGGTTGGCTCTATAATACTAAACCTAAGTTAGTTTTCGCTTCAAGTAATAGGTCAGTCCTACGAGACAGTGCAAAGATTCTACAACAACAACCACTTCGGATCAAGCTACCAAGTTTGGATGCTTGGTTCGATAGGCCTACCAAACTCGATCACTCGAAGTTCGGATGCGGGTACCGAACCCAAAAGTCCAACCTTTGCTGGATAAGTCACAAAGTAGATATGCAACAGAGATCTAGTGTAACGCCCCGGATTCGTTGCGCCAGGTGTCTGCCAGTTATTCGCCGTCGTTGCCATGTCATTTGCTTGCGTGTTGCACTTTGCCATGTCATCATCTGCATTTCATATCATGTCATCATGTGCATTTCATTTTGCATACGTGTTCATCTCATGCATCCGAGCATTTTCCCCGTTGTCCGTTTTGCAATCCGGCGCTCCTATCTCACCCGGCGTCCCCTTCTTGTCTCCTTTCGTGTGCGGGTGTTACACGTTCTCGGAATGGACCGAGGTTTGCCAAGCGGCCTTCGCATAGCACCGGTAGACCGCTTGTCAAGTTTCGTGCCATTTGGAGGTCGTTTGGTACTCCAACGGTTAACCGGGTAACCGCAAAAGCCTCTTTCGTTGCAGCCCAACACCCCTTCCAAAGTGGCCCAAAACCCACCTAACTCTCCTCCATGCTCTCGGTCGTTCGATCACGATCGTGTGGGCGAAAACCGCAGCTCATTTGGACTCTCCTAGCTCCCTCTACCTATATATATGCCCCCTCCCCCGAAATCTCGGGCAAAACCCTAGATCAAACTCCACCCGCCGCCACCGAAAAAAAATCCGGGCAGCGGACATGTCCGCCCGCGCCCCCTCGCCCAATCTCGGCCCGCCACGTGGCACTTCGCCGCAGCCGGCAACCGCGGCCCGCCAGGCCCATCGCGAG